GCGCAAGAAAAGTGGAGACGAGAATAGTTACACATGCATGAATTACCCATAGCTTAGAAATCATGACAAAGTTTTATTAAGGCCCCGACAAAGTTTTATTAAGGCCACTAACCTATTTCTGCTAAACAAAAAAAAAGGAAATAAATAATTAATGATTATTTAGCAGCCCCTATTAGCACTCATGCGACAGAGTGCTATAGTCGGTTATACAAACCGTCTCTACACTACTGGTATACCAGCTTGTTGACTATATTTGCCCCTAATAATAATAGAACTAGCCTTTATAATATACGTGATAAAAAATCTTTTCCCGATGCCCCACCACAAACACTGCATACATAAATCAGAGTATTACCTGATGTATTACCCAGAAATGCCCTCAAACAGGCAATGGATTTGAATACGCTACCTATCTAAAAATTTATGTTAAATCAACATGAAATTACTGTTCTTTGAGAAAGTAAATAATATAACTTACATTTTACTTACTTACAAAGTAAAGTATAAAATTTCAAAGATAAATATTACTTTTATTTGTAATAGTAAATAACAATTTTTTTAAATTACTTTTATGTAAGCTGTTTTTGCTAATTAGTTACTTTTACACGTAAAAGTAATTTGTTGTTATGATGTAGTTTTATTTTACTTTGTAAAGTAAGTGTTATGTTTTTAAAATATTGTATTATGAAAGTTTACTTCATAAATAACTTTTTTTACATTTAAAAATAGATTACATACCGATGTAAATTTTTTACATAATTATAACCAAAATTACTTTTCAAAGTTATTTACTTTACAAGACTTACCATTAAAACTAAGTTACTTTTATAAGTAAAAATAAAAATGCAAATAACTTTATCTTGTAAAAGTAAATTACTTTTTCAAGTAACAGTTATTCATTTAAAAAACTTAACTTAAGTAATAAAGTTTTACACATTTTTATGTAAAAAAAAACGATTAACGTTTAAATCTAAGTAAATTATATACTTTTATATGAGTTATGTAAAGTAATTTACGCGTGAAAGTAATTCGCGTTTTTACTCCAAAATAAGTAAAAGTGTTAACGCAGATGACAACGCTATAAACCCTCCTCAGACAAGACGAAGTGTTGAAAAACAGGGATTTAATGTGCAGAAAAGAAAAATGATTTTTCTTAAATTTGGCTTTACAATTTGAAATTGTAAGGGTATTGAACAACCACTTTGTATGATCTGCAATTAATTATTGGCTGCAGGGAGTATGAAACTATTGAATTTAAAAAAAACTATTGAATTTAAAAAAAAGCATAATTCGTATGTCCATAAACCAAAAGAATATTTTGATAGACTGTATAAATCTTTATATAAAGAAAAAAAATCTTTTGAAAAATTTATAACCATCAATGAAAAGTATTTACTAGCGTCATATGAAGTTTCATACTGTATTGTTAAAAATCAAAAGCCGTTCACCATCGGAGAAGATCTTGTATTACCTGCTAATAAAATGGTAGAAATATTACAAGGAAGTAAATTTGACGATGATATTCAAAAAATTTCTTTGTTGAGCGACGCTGTCGCGAATAGAATTTCTGATATTAACAACCAATTAGTGTAACTTATTACAAAAATTAAAGAAAGCCCAAAATTTTCAACTCAGACGAAATAACAGATATTACTAAATTGGTTCAGTTTTTAGTATGTCAGGTATGTTTATAAACAAAATGTGGAAAAAGAATTGTTATTTTGTTGTCTTATGAAAGACCATACTACAAGGAAAGACACATATTGTAAAGTCGACGAATTTTTTAAAACTGAAGGTTTAAAATGGAGAAATTGCTTTGGAATATGCACAGGTAATGCAAGAGCAATGACGGGTAAATATATTGGTTTTAAATCATATTTTCAAGCTGCTCATTATGAACATATAACTTTGACTCACTGCTTTATTCACCGAAAAGCTCTTGCAGCAAAAAAAGTTGCACCAGAATTGAATGTTAAGATTATAATTTTTATTAAATCTCGGTAAGGATACGGATTCCAAGTACACAACTTTATTATTACATGCAGAAGTATTTCAAGAGTTGTCAAGAGAATTTAGGTAGTCAAGAGGTTGTCAAGAGAACAAAATTTAAGGAGATTATTGTTATTAAAGAACGAAATCGAAATATTTTTAACCAAACAAAAATGTGAAATTACTGCTTTTTTTCAAAATGAGTTATGGCTATCCAAGCTGTGTTATTTGTGTTATCCAAGCTGTGTTATTTGTGTTATCCAAGCTGTGTTATTTGTGTTATCCAAGCTGTGTTATTTGTGTTATCCAAGCTGTGTTATTTGTGTTATCCAAGCTGTGTTATTTGTGTTATCCAAGCTGTGTTATTTGTGTTATCCAAGCTATGTTACTTGCCAGATGAGAAATTGAACGATCTTAACTAGTCTCTTCAAGAAAAAAATTGCGATTTATTTCAAATGATAAAATTGAAAGTTTTTATTAAAAATATCAAAGTTTGGAAAACTAGGGTAAAAAACAATTTGTTCGAAATGTTTTCCAGTGTCGACAATATTATAATCGAGAAAAATCATTGTAAAACTTTCATCGCAAAAATTATAGTTGATCACCTAAAAGTGCTAGAAAGTTCCGTACATATTTTATATGTACGGAATAATATAATTAATAATATAATTTTTTATGTAAAATTTTATAGAAACACAGTTCCGGAGATATTTTATATCAAATGCTGATTTCAAAAAGATAGCGTAGATTCAAAAGCCGTTTTGGATTGGCTTGATTAAAATTGATTACCTGCCACTTAAAGCTCAAGAGGAATTTACTGAGCTTTCGAGTAACTTATACTTAAAACATTTTCCTAAAAAGGCCTTGACTGAATTCTGGATTGGAACTAGACCTGAATTTCCCACAATTGCTGATATGGCGTTAAATTTTCTTCTGCCATTCAACACCACAAATTTATGTGAAGTTACTTTCTCAGCTTTAACACATATTAAATCCCAATATTGTTTATCACTAAAAAATGTTAAAGAGGTTTTACATCCAGCCGTGTCAGACATTCTACCAAGATTTAATTTGTAATCCAATAAAAATAAAAAATCCAATAAAATCCAATTCGTATCTTATAAAATTTTTTCTTTTTAATTTTAGTTTAATACTTACCACTCAACGACAGCATTTGAATTCGAGCAAACTGAGACGGGTAGAATTCCTTTTTATTTGTACCATTGAGGTAAAGTGGGACAAGTGTGAATGAAAGTAGGACAAATAAATTTAAAACAACATTTTAACATAAATTATTAAATAGAAACTGATAAAATTGCAAAATCACCTAATCGACATAAAAATGTTCAAGAGCCTTCACCAATCGAAATAATAAAATGGCAAGGGGAAGAAGCGGGGCATATAATTCGTTTTACGGTTAATATTATTTATTAAATTTTAATGTTAACAAACTATATAGTTATCTAATTGATATAAATTATGGGAAAGAAGTTTAGGCTCTATAATGAAATATAAAAAGCTGCAATTCCTTAAACAAATTGAAACTAGGAGTAATCAAGGATAGGGAGACCTTTTTAATAAATCTTAAAAGGTATTTTAGTTGGGACATGACAAAAGTTATGATTGATGAAATAAGAATAGATAGAAAAAGAACAAGAAACCCCCAAAAAAGAGAAAAAGAGAAAAAAAAAAAAGAAATATAATATGGTTCAAACCCCCGTATAATAAAAGCGTTTCTACCAATTTTGGACATATCTTTCTAAACTTAATTAACAAATGTTTTCCAACATCCCACCCAATAAGTAAACTATTCAATCAAAATACTATCAAAGTGAGTTACAGCTGCACCAAAAATATTGAAAGAATAATAAGCCACAACAAGAAAATCAGTTCAGAAAGACCAAAAGAATACCCCTTCCTTTATTGCCCTATAATAGGAAAATGTAGAGCCTCTAATGAACCCCCACCCCCCACCCCTAACACTCCAGAAAAAGTATATATTGAACTTCACGATGTTTATTAAGAGTATATATTTTTTACGAAAAAATCAATGTATTTTTTTACCTGATGATTGGCAAACGCATGAAACTTTTAGTCGTAAAAATCATGTAACAACTTAGAAATAAAAGATCCGTGGTTCAAACCCCACCTGGGCAAGTTTTGCGACATCGGTTTGGAAAGAGGCGTGAACTCCCTATTAAATGCTTATCTGCGGTGCTCAGTGAAAGACTGTAAGGACTTCTTGGGGTACCTAAAAAAAATCATGTAGCTATTTTTATTTAATCTCATTTAAAAATCAGTTATATATATATATATATATATATATATATATATATATATATATATATATATATATATATATATATATATATATATATATATATATATATATATATATATATATATATATATATTATTAAGAAAACATCAAATAATACGAATTCTCTTAATTGGATTATGGTTACCAGCATCATCAGCTCGTAAAAATTAATACAAAATTTTTTAACGTTAAAAACAGTTTAAAATTAACTGACGTCAGCAATTGAATGGCTTCTTTCTTACTTACGTAAAAATGTAAAAAACGGAGTCCAAAATTTAGTTTCAACAAATTGCCCGTTATTTAGATTAATGCCACCATTTAAAGGAGAACATTGATACCTCTGTATTTCAAGAGCTTCGCGCACTTTTCGATCAAACTTTTTTGTTTTCACTTTAATTGTTTTAACATCCTCCAACTTTATTTCTTGTGAGCAAAACTTATTATGGGTGGCTATTGCCGACTGATAATGTTTCCCCTCGTTTAAACTTTTTTGATGTTGTTGAATTCGAGTCCTAATTTGAAGGTTGGTTTCGCCTACGTATCTCTTTGAGCATTCACATTCAATTAGATAAGTTCCGGGTTGACTATTTTGTGGCAATTTAGTTTTGTTTTTTGATGTTATAAGTGTTCTTAAATTAGGATTTGATTTGAAGACTACTTTATAGCCAACTTTCCGAAACATTTTCCTTAATTATGGGGATAGTGATGGTATCCACGGTAATGATACAGTAAGGAGATTAAGAGTACCTGATTGAATTTTGTTGCTTTTTATGGACCGTTTATTTCTGATTAAGTTTGCAATGCGTGTAAGTTGACATATGTTGTATCCATTCTCTTTAAATACGTGAAATATAAAATTAATTTCATCTTCTAAATATAAATCACTGCATATAGAGTAAGCTCTGTGAACGTAACCTTTAAATATTGCGTTTAGAATTTTGGGGTCATGATTTGAGTGAGGTTTAATTTGAATATTTGTAATGGCGTTCTTTCTGTAAACTTTAAACTCGTATTTACCTTTGGTGTTATTTACTATGGTTAAATCGAGGAAGTTTAGAGTTCTATTTTCACTTTCAATTTCGATTGTATATTGTATTGGAGGGTGTTGTTTGTTCAAGATAATTAGGAATTGTTCTGCTTCTTGAGCGTTAGAAAATCTAGCATGACTATCGTCAACATATCGAAGATAGGATTTTAGGTCAAGAGGAGCATTTACTGCCATTGCAATTTTAAAAGCGTTTTCTTTATGATGTTGTATAAAAGATTCTGCTACTACGACTATGAATGAAAGACCTATAGGACCGGAGTTCTTCAATTCATGGATCTCATTGTTCCACAAGAAATAACAACGGTGTAAACAAAGTTCTATAAGTTGTCTTGTTTCGGATATGGTAAGGCTTGGTGGAATGTTTATAGGAATCATTTTTATTTAATTGGTCTATAAGAATTAAAGTGGCTTCCTTTAGTGGAATTGATGGATACAGGTTTATTACATCAAATGAAACCTGAACCTCGTTTTTTTCAATCTACCATGAATTTGCCTTACTAATAAAATCAAACGAATTTTTCAGACGTGTCTTAATTTTGTTTAAAACAGGTTGTATTTTCTTGAATAAATAATTAGATATTCCATAATTAGGAGTGCCGATAGTTGATATAACTATTCTCATAGGATAGGATTTTTCAGGTTTATGAGCTTTAATTAGACCATACATATGAGGTGGGATAGGGTCACTTGGATATATATTACCATACTCTGTTTTTGAAAATCGCTGTTTTTTATTAAGTTGTGAGAGATAATATATATATATATATATATATATATATATATATATATATATATATATATATATATATATATATATATATATATATATATATATATATATATATATATATATATATATATATATATATATATATATATATATATATATATATTATTTTAGATTTGTATGATTCTGATAGGATTTATACAGTAATCATATAACAACAATACGAGTTCAGTTTTTTATGCGGGGTTCCATTTTACTACTGTATATGCAGTAACTAATCAAAAGTTATTTTTTATAAAATTTAATATAAAATGCATCTTTTCTATGTATCAAGGCTGTGGAGTTGGAGTCGGAGTCGGAATTGCGGAATTGCGACAACTTTAGCGGAGTCGGACTTGGAATCGGAGTCGCTAAAAAATATCGCGACTCCGACTCCGAAAGTAATATTTCTTGGTATTGCACGTGCATGTACAAAACATTCAATTAACCTTATTTTCATACTAAACCTTAAAGAACGTTGCATAAATTTGTCAAAAAAAAAATTTCAACTTATCGCGCAATATTTTTTAAAAAATTCAAAGAATTTTTCAAAAATTTTGCTTTGGAGTCGGAGTCGGAGTTGTGCTCAAAAAATTTCGACAACTGCAGTCGGAGTCGGAGTTGTACTCAAAAAATTTCAACAACTGGAGTCAGAGTCGAAGTCTTTACTTTTTTTTACAACTCCACACCCCTGCTATGTATGCATGTATTATAATTTTTTCATGTTGAATAAAGTTTTGCCGCCAGAAAAATCTATGACAAAATTAGTTAGAGCAAAATTATATAAAAATTAACCCAAAAATTAAATTGAAAAATTAACCCAAAAATTAAATTGAAAAATTAACCCAAAAATTAAATTGAAAAATTAACCCAAAAAATAAATTGAAAAATTTATATTTACTTCCTATGCAGTAGGATGTAAATATTTTCGTTTGGTTCACAATAGTCGTACTTTTTAGTTTAAATTTTTAGTCGTTGTGAAATTAACTTGTGTTAATTTAGCGCAAAGTGTTATTTGTTTTACTTAGAGTATTTGTTTTTACAAGTTAGATGTTAACCATTTTAAGCCAAAATAATGAAATTGAATAGGTTGTTTTGTTTTTAATTGATTGGACAATGCTTATAACTTTTGAGGTTGTATTAGATTAGCCAATGCATATATACGTACTTTAAAAACAACCTTAAAAACCTCAAAAAGTGATTTAGGATGCAGAAAGAGATTTAAGATACAAAACCTTTGATATATAATGGTACACCATTATGTATGAAGTTTTTTAATTTTCTTGACTTTTAAAAAACGACTTTTTTTTTTGTTAAATTTTTCACTTTTGTACAAATAGCTGTACAAATAGCTGAGTATTTGGCTAATAAAAAATTATTCAAAATATTTTAAGTCAAAAGTAGACACATTAGCTACCGGTAGTTATGTGTCTATCTTTGAATTAAAATGTTTTCAATAAGTTTCAAAGTGAAAAATTTAACCTAGAAAAGTCGTAGTTGTTTTTGTTTTGCAGGAGCCTAAAAGCCGCAACAGAGATTAAGTTAGCAAAAAACTGTTTGAGATTAAGTTAGAAAAGAACTTTTTTATCGCCTATAGATTATGGCTTAATTTAAATAAATAAAAAAATTTTATCACGTTATAATAAATTTTTTAATTATAAATCTTTACATGTGTAAACTTTCTCACGATTGTTGCCTCGGGGTAGCTTATTGTACGTAGAGATTGTAATTTTTGTAACTAAGATTGTAACTAAGCTGAAATTATAACTTTATTTCCTATGTGTCTATTTTTCTAACTTTATTTAATCAAACAATTAATCGTTTATTCTTTTAGGTTACACAAGCTGCTTGCAGAAATTGTCTAAATACTAAAAAAATTATTATTTTCAAAATTATTCAATAGGCATCCCAACCTCATACATATTCCAAATGTTTTGCGGTTTTTAAAGTAGGTTGTTTTCCGTTAACACATTTTTAAGAATGGAAAAATATTTCGACACTTTAAAAAACATACATAGAATGATGAATAATAGCTGCTGTACTTTCTGGTTGACATCAAGTTAAATCTTTGTGCCTTTTGCAAATCCCACGCCACATATTTCTGTAGGAGTTCCATTCTTGAATTCTTTTTATGCTTTAAAGCAATATATATACATGTATATATTTTCAATAAAATTTTCAGCATATTTTAGAAATTGCAATTGACCAAATCTGATTACTAAAGCTGCACGATTATATTCAAAATCAATTAATTTCTGTTTATCTAAAATAGTTGGATGTCCAGGTTTGGCTCATATTTCCATTACTCAAGAAAGTCAAACTTGTAACAAACATCTTAAATGTCAAAATTTACACGCTGCTCGCTGTGAATCTCCATTTTTAACAGCTTTAATTGCTGATATCATCGATTCATCATTTCATAAACGAATCATTTCATATCTCTGTTTTTCAATTTTCGTTGAATTTTCTTTTTTTTTAGTTTTATTTATTTTTTCATTCTAAAGTAAATTTAATTATAAAATGGTTATGACCAGGGCCGATTGCCGACTGCCATGACGACATTTGCCGACTGCCTAGATTACCGACTAACTTATAACGAAAGGGTCGACATTTGCCGACTACCTAGTCTAAAAGAGTCCAATTTGCCGACTAAGGGTCTAATTTGCCGACTGAAAATCACTGATGGGGGAACACCCCCCCACACACACACACCCTCTATTGCGCCGGCCTTGGTTATGACTGTCTAAAAATAAATGTCTACGTTTCTATGATTATATCATATACATGTATCAAGTAATTTAAGTTGGTTATTCTCTTTCTCTCTCTGTATATATATATATATATATATATATATATATATATATATATATATATATATATATATATATATATATATATATATATATATATATATATATATATATATACATATATATATATATATGTATATATATATATATATATATATATATATATATATATATATATATATATATATATATATATATATATATATATATAGTATGTTGTATGTATATATATGTATATATATATATATATATATATATATATATATATATATATGTATATATATATATATGTATATATATATATATATATATATATATATATATATATATATATATATATATATATATATATATATATATATATATATATATATATATATACATTTTGTATAACGTTCAAAAAAAATAGGAACTAATTTGTCACACGGAAAAAGTCACGTATATATTGAAACACAATGTTTCAATAAATTCTTAAATTTTTTTTTTTAAATATTGATTTATAATACGTTTAAATAACGATATAAACTTGTTTTAAAAATTGCAAGAAGTTATTTAGAAACAATAAAGTAAAAATTGAGATTACACATGTAAAAAATAAAAAATGTTGTTGTTTTTGGGGTACCTATTATTAGGGATTTGTAGTGCATCAGATGTTTCCCTAAAGACGAAATTAGCAGTAACTGTTTTTATTTAAATACAATCAATTTTTATTTAGTCACGCTAAATACAGTAATCTAAATTGTATTAAACTAAATGCCAACAAAACCTTTTCTTATCCTTTATTTTAGGTAAAGCACAAATACAAACCAATATAATAATGATTTCTGCTAATAAAAAAAATCTTCAGAATAAACTTCGACATCTGGGATTCACTTGAGATACTAAACATTCAATTTTTGCTTCACTCAGTTATACAAATATTGATGAAAAAGCCTCTAACTTTAGAGCTGTTGTTCAAACTCTTATTCAATCTGGAATCCGGTTTGCCCACCCAAATTCTATTTCCTATATATATAAATTATTGGCAGTCCCTACCTTAACTTACGGTATGCAGCTATGTAAAAATAATTCTGCTTTGATGAAAAAGCTAGGTATATTTGTTAGTAGTGCGCTAACAATTATATCTAGCTTTTTCTTTTTCTTTTTTTTAAAATCGCTTCTAAATGTTTCGAAACACAGTAAGAACTATATAAATTCTCTATTTAAAATTTAAAAAAAGTTTTCAACAAAATAAGTTAAACTTGTTCCTTTGTTTTATTAATAATAAATCAACTGCAGACATTATCTTTTCACAACTGAAATACTTTTTATTTCAACATTCGTTTTTTGGCAATATTCAGGACTTATGCCTTTTTCAGATGTTAAATTTTCAAAGTTTAATTCAATATTAAAAATAAGGTAAAAATAGCACTTTCTAAAAGTGAAATTCCCTCCGAAGTAGAACAAACTTTGAAGTATGCAATAGAGTGCTGGAATGCAAAAGAACAAAGAGGAATTTTTAAACAAATTCTGGAAGATAAAATTCTTCAGTAAAAGTCGCGAGAAATAACCTTCTTATTTATTTTTTATCTTGTAAATTACATTGGGTGTTAAATAAATGAAATAATAATAAATAAATAGGTTCACTGTCTGCAAACATACAACTAAAGTTATTGTTGGAATATAGTTTTTGGGGTAAACATACAAAAAAATCAAAAGTTCCGTTAATAATAACAACAAACTATACCTAAAAAAAGAACCAGACCAACGGCTCGGTATAGTTAAGGCAATTTACTTTTCAAATACTTTTATTTGGAATT